GCGGAACCGAATAATGTGAACATGTTTGAGACTGATAACTTGTTAGATAATAAACTGCCTGGGTAATTGCTGGAGAATTCTGGGAGATGGAATATAAGATATAAATAAATCAGAACAGCTACCGTCGCCTCCTTTACAGACAAATGTATCGAAAGGAGTCAAGGACTTTAACCCTGATCACATGATTCTAGTCCAGAAAAATCTAGAATCATCCTTCCCCCCCAAAAAAAATCAGCTGGGGGATCCTAGTCCCTGACAGTCAAGTTTCTCAAGTTCTATAATAGACAGTGTACTTTCCTGCTCTTTGGTTAATCTCCAGGGGCTACCATATTCTCTCAACTCTCCTACACCTTGCACAAATGCCAGTTCATCTTCCCCAAGGCTCACAACTCCTTACGTACAAACCTTGCATACTGTATGTAATGCTTGCTAAAAGCGAGGTGCCCTTTGAGGGTTTTCTTTTCGGATTCGGAGAGCTGTAGTCCACAAACCTGCACATTCTGACACCGATCCTTTGCTCACCTGGAGCAAGGCCTCTCTTGGGCTGGAACACCAAGCCTTCCGCCTGGGTAATTGCTGGAGAATTCTGGGAGATGGAATATAAGATATAAATAAATCAGAATAGCTGATCCCTACTTGCTAAATCATGCCAACGCATATGGGCGAGACTGTTTCGAGAGCAATGTACCTGTCAGCCCTTACTAAGGAATTGCCACACTCTGCAGGGAACCCCATGCTAAGTGACACCAACAGGGCAGCTGGAGACCAGGAAATGCATCATGTTCTAAAATCTACTGCCTGAAGCAAAACCAGAGCTAGGCTGGGGTGCCTGACTGATACAAAACAATCGCATTTTCTGGATCACCTGTTTGCAACTGATCGCATTCTTTTCTTCACAAAAACCAGCCAAGGTGTATGCTTTGGAAAAGGATGTGCGAGTCTTAGGGTTTCAAAGTTTCAAAGTTGTCACCTCAGTGGCACTTTCTCCGTTGAATACCTGTCCAGGATACAGTATTTGCTCTGATTTCATTTAGAAGCAGAGCAAATCATGTACGTTGTTTTCATTGGGGGAACCCACATGAGGAGAGATGAGTTAATGACCTCCATTGTGACCCAGCTCCAAATCAGGTCTCCTGGTAGATGCTGCTGGGAAACAGAGACATAGCCAGCTGCAAGCAAAGCTGTTAAAATATTCCTGAAATCACATTTGCTTTGGCTCCAAGGCAGGAATTCCAAGCTGGGATCCGTCTTATAATGAAAACTTGCTTTGCACGTGTCGCCGAATGACTTCCTTGGTACTTCACTTGGTAAGTGAGGGAATCAGAGTCTCACAAACCTCCATAAATGAGTCCTCCATGAATATTTTCTGAATGCAGAAAATAACCCAAACAGGGAATGAGACAGTCTACAGCCTCTAGATGCCAGGTTACTCCACACATACCCCTTAGAAGGGATTTCAAGATAACATATGGAAATATAATAATAATGGCGTCCTTACCAAATCGGAAATGGTGTCATCTATGTACTCCTATTTCCATTCTCTACTGCTACCGATCAGCCCAATACATTAGGAAGTATTCTTCTACAAACCTTTTTAAAATGAACGGGAGCTATGAAGCCTTCCTATATCCAATTCTAAATGTTTTTTAGGACTGTAAAATTGAAGCACATTGATCAAGCTGATGAACTGACAAGACAAAAAGGAATAAGTGAAGCTATGAATTTACAGGACGTTAACTGTTTATTTCACAAGGTTTGATTTCATTCTGATATGTTAATGTAACGGGGGAAAACATTATGGTCTTTCTTTCCAATAATGGGTAGTTAACTTTTGTTTATTAAATAATTGTCATTTGTCTTAAAAAGTAACCCATAACAAAAGCTATAGCAACAAACAAAATTTATTTAAAATCAGTGACGTTATCAGTTTAAAAAGTACATGATTAACCAATTAAAAAAGAAATCCTGCTAAATATTTTGATGCTAAGATTCCACAGTGGAACATATCAAATACTAATAAAGAAGAGAGAGTTCTCTGAATCATGTGCAAAGTGGTTTTCCTCCACTACATAGCATTTTCAGGAAGGATTGTCAAGCTTCCAGGCAGGTCTCATTGGGCTACAGAGATGAAGCGCTGGTCAAGCTGAGAAGGCAGTGAAAGGAGCAGTGAGGACATGAAAACTGTGATAACCAGATCTGTATCTTTATTCCATCCCAGTTATTCATCCCCCCCTTCTTGCCTACCTTTCCAGTGGGTTAGACTGTCTGTTACAGAGAGAGGTCAGAGCTTAGAAACTATACCCTTGATTTTGGGCCTTTTTCCCCAGATTGGCCAGGTTGGCTGAAGGGTTTTGAGAGGTTGTAATCCAAAAATATTATTCAGTCCTGGTTTTAACATTGGCAAGTATCTGCTCACTCACCTAATGCCTTTCAACCTAACAGAACGGGAAATTAAGTGAGGAAAGAGAGTTACGAGAACCAGAAGAATACGACCGTTCTTCATTGACCAGTACAAGGAAGCTTGGGCTAGTTAAACTCATGGGGAAGAGATGACTGAGCAGTACTGGCGTCTCTCTCTCTCTCTCTTAAGCTGACATAGGTTGTTAGTTTTCCAAGAACTAGTCTGGGGGTCCTTAGAAGCTTATCAGATCAGCGATGGCCAGGGCCATCCCTCATGTTAGGCAAAATGGAGCACCTGCCTCAGATGGCAGGTTCTGGAGGCAGGGGAAAACAACAGCTGCCTCCAACTGTTCCCCACTGAAGGAGGCTAGGGCTGTATGTGTACTACATGACCCACCCTACACTTTGCCCTGAGGTCTAGCATCCAGTTCAGTCCTATTCCTCTTTTCCTGGCGTTCCTATTCAGTGGAATGGAGGTTGGAGGCAGGCGCCCTCTTGTCCTTTGCCTCAGGCCACAAAACATCTTGGAGCGATGGCAGACTAGAGTGCCCACAACCCATCTTCCCCTACGAAGTGTTGGTAAGATTCAGGCCCATACAAACTAATTGTATGGCATAAATGCCTTGCCCCTACCTGCCCTCACTGCCCCCCAAAAAAACTCTGAAATGCACAGGGGTTTCTTTGACAGAGGAGTTCACACACATACACACACACACAAAAGGCGGGTCCCTGAAGGAAGAACATCTGAAAGCTACTGGGCCAGGGTCATTATGGTGACAGGTAGGGGTGCTAAAGGTGGGCAAACAGCACAAAAAGTGACCCTACAGAGTCAAATTTGCTACCAGTATAAACAAAGTGGGCTCTGGCCACTGCAGGGGAAGAGAGAGAGGATAATAATCTCCATGATTGCCAGCCTCCTTTAGATTTTTCTTCCCCCGTTCTCTAGTTCAGTTCATCTTGATCAGGATCTGTTCAGAGAAAAGCTTTTTGAGCTGAGCCACTTCCGCAGAAAGAGAGGCAAGCTGGCTTCGCAGGGTGCTGTTTTCTGTCTGGTACGATGCCCCCTGGGGGGCTGGCAGCTGGGCTCCGGGGGCCTCCATTTCACAGCAGCTCTCAAAGGCCATCACCCCCACAGAGGCTCCCATGTTCCTCTGCTCCTCCCGCACGGCCGGCCCTCTCCAGGGTCCTGTGGGTGAAGAGGGTAGATACGGTCCGGCTGGCTCCCTCACCATCTCCTCTGACCCACCAGCCATTTTGAAGCGCAGCTTGTGTGGGAGGCCTTTGACGTTCTCCCCAGAGTCGTAACAGCCAGCTCGGCCCACGTCGGCTCCGTCACTGGGGATGTCGGGCACCAAGCAGTGCCCGTCCTGAGCGATGCCCTCCTCCGCTCTGCTGTCGCGCTCCTCAAAAAAGACCGGGCTTCCCATATTGGAGCTTCCTGGGGTGGAGAACCCAGAATCCTCAGAGCTGGTGGCTGGTTCTGGCCTAAAGGGACAAGCGTAACGTGAAGGGTCAGGAGCCACAGGGTACTGCTGAGGTGTGCCGGTTGGACGGTGGAGTTCAGGAGCAGGGGCGAGAGCCACCACTGGCCGGGAAGACTCTGTGGGGTCCCGAATCAAGCCAAAGCGGAATTTGAGGGCCAGGAGCTCTGCCTTGAGGCGGGCGTTCTCCTCTAGCAGTGCCAGTACCCGCCCCTCCAAGGCCAGGTCGCTGACCCGCCGTTTCTCCCGCGAGCGCTTGGCGGCCTCGTTGTTCTTCTTCCTTTTGTCCCAGTAGCCGTCATCTTTCTTCTCATCTGGAGTGAACTCCCGCTTGCGTCGGGCCGTGGCCAAGGGTCCCCCTTGCTCCCTTGGGTGCGTTACTGGGCCGCTTCCCGTCCTGAGTACAGAATGACTCAACAGCCCATTGGCTGAGAGAAGCGAGACGGTTTCTTCAGCAAAACAAGACACCGCCGTGCGCAGCTCACAGACCTGTCCACAGGAAGGGGTGTGTGGCATCTCTGGGTGAGGCTGGGCTGGAGGGTCTTCCAGAGGCAAGTCCATTTCCCCAAAGCCTGTGAGGGCAGAAAGAAAAGACAGCATGTTACTACACACGAGGCAGGGGCCAAAATTTAGATGGTGCCAAAATCTATAGGGTGAATCTACCAACATCTCCTAGCCTATTCATGCAGCTTGCTTTTTATTTCAGGGTGCACCACATTCTGCTTCTCCTTGTTCTTGGTGAGGGCCTCTTAAGGGAAGAAGAGGCATGAAACAGTGCCATTTGTCTCAGATACCAAAATTTCTAGTTACTGCGCCAGTAAAAGCTGGTTCACAGATATACTGTAATATGCTCATCTGTAGATGAGCTGCAAAGACAATGAAAAAGACATGCACACACATAGCCTGACACCTGGTGGCCAAGTGAAGGATTGCAGTCAGAGAACACAATAAGGTAAGGTACTGTACTTGTAGGCCAGGGGTGGGCAATTAATTTCTATAGGGGGGGCCACATGAAAAATCTGAACTGTGTTCGGGGGCCGAACCAACTTTACTTAAATATAAAATGAAACAGTGATGTTAAGATTGTTTTTATTTTAAACTTGTTAATCTTCACAAATACTAAAGAATTTTTTTGCGGTAATGTTAAAGATAAGCAACTCATCAACTTTAGACAAAAAGCTATAAATGGTTTTGACGTTCAAAACTGTCTGCGGGCCGGACAGGAGTCGTTCCTGGGCCGTATGGGCAAAGTGCCTCGGGCCGCACTTTGCCCAGGTCTGTTGTAGGCAGAACCTTTGCTGGCTCATTAACAAGCATCTTGCCAGGGCACAGCTAGAGTAGAAGCAGCCATATTTAGCAAAATCCATTATGTTTAGAAATGATTAGCATATCATCAGCTGTAGACGCTCCTCTCTCTGGTTTGTCTCTTTCCCCACAGATGGGAAGAACTCAGCATTTTTGTTTAGTTTTTAGCTTCTCCAGTTTGCTGGGAGCAAAACAAACCCGAGAAGAAGAAACATTGCCTACATTCAGAAGACCCGCGGTGAAAATACATAGAGCAAAACTGCAGGCAGGAGCAACTGGGCAGGAGGTACCAAGAGCTTGGCTGTAACTGAGTAGCCAGGAGTTCCTGCGACACTCTGGTTTAGTATGTTATGTGGCTGAAGTCCATTAAGGGCCACTTCCGCTCTCTAGTACCAAAGCAGCTCATGTCCTTTTCCAGCCTTTGCAGGATTTCAGCTGGCACATTATTGAACCACCCCAGAGTGCTAGAACACTCTCTGGCCATTTATAACATAACTGAGCAACGAACACTTTGCTGCCCCCCCCCCAGTGAGTTTTATCAGTCTCAGAAGGATGGAGGGCTTGGTCAGCCATGAGCCAGCTACGGTACCTGAACCTATTGAGATTGAACTCAGAACTCAGTAGAGGCTTGACTGCAGTACTGCAGTTTAATCACTGCGCCATGCGGCTCATAAGACGAAGACATTATGAGAATTGTCAGATTCCCAGCTCTTTATGTGCAGGTACAGCTGGCTGGATAGCTCTGTGAGATGAGTACCTGGCTGCAGAACCAGAGGTTGGGAATTTGGCTTCCTACTGTGCCTTCTGGGAGAAAAGCCAGCCTTGTATGGCCTTTTGGGCAAAGCTGCACAGTCCCAGGACGCCCCCCCAGAAGAAGAGAGTGAGAAACTACTTCTGAGTACTCCCTCCCTAGAAAACCTGGAAAGGGTTGCCATAAGTCAGAACTGACTTGACAGCACACTATAATAATAATAATTTCATCATCATCATCATCATCATCATTATTATTATCATTATCATCATCATCATCATCATCATTTTTATTATTATTATTATTATCATCATCATTATTTTTATTATTATTATTATCATGATGATGATGATGATGATGATGATGATGATGATGATGATGATGATGATGATGATGCACAAGTACAACTACGCCATGCCACAGTATTCCAGGCTTCTGCTGGTATCCTTGAATGTAAGAAGTATCATTGCTACAAAGTTGCCTTCCACAAACATGGCCACACATGTACAAGACAGAACCAAAGAGGTTGCAGATGCTAACAGGTCTTGTTGTTGCTGTGTTCCATCAAGTCAAAACTGACCCAGAGTGACCCTGACAGGGCTTTCAAGGTAAGTGAGATATTTAAAGAGTCGTTTTTCCATTTCCACTCCCCCAGTGAACTTCCATGGCTGAATGGAAATTTGAACCCAGGTCTTCAGAGTCCTACTTTGTCACTCTATCCACGACACCACACGGGGAATCCTAACATTTATAAGTCATCCCTAAAGCTGTTTTTAGCTGGTGATTCCAAACCCGTTCACCCTTATGATAGTTGTGTAATGAGACAGGTTGCTATTTATGAATCACTTCATAGACAGGCAGTGGAGAGCCTTGATAAGCAAAGATTCAAATGTGAATCTCCGTATGCAGGATAAATTAACTGGTAATTAGAGGGGTACAGATTTTGGAGCACAACTCTGGAAAAAGTCTGTGGGTTTGTGATCCAAAAACACAAATATGCACACCTCTGTTGGCAATATTTTACAGAGGCGGCTCCCTGATGGCAAGACTGAGCTACAAAATAGTTTGAGCCATGAGCCCAACCATCTGCATTAGGAGGAGAAAGAGATCAGTCTGGCTTATCATGATATTCTAAGAATATTGCAGCAATGACCTAAAACAGCTCTTAGTGAAAGAAGTGCCAAAGCAGGACTGCAGTTGAACACGAAGAAGACAAAAAACATACTACAGAAGAACTACACAATTTTAATGTTGGTAATAAAGAAATTGAAAGATTTTGTATACTTTGGTTCAATCATGAAGCAATTTAAAAAGATCATCAGATGGAAGGATGTGTCATTGGAAATCAAGGCCAAGATAATCCACAGTATTGTACAGTATTCCCAATTGCTATGTATGAGAGTGAAAGCTGGACATTAAAGGAAGCTGACGGGGAGAAAATTGATTAATTTGAAATACTTGTGCTGGAGGAGAGCTTTTTAGCTACCCTGGACTGCCAGAAAGACAAATAAGTGGGTCCTAGAGCAAGTCAAGCCTGAATTATCTCTGGAGGCAAACATAATGAAACTGAGGCTGTCCTACTTTGGGGACCTTATGAGAAAATAAGATTCTCTGGAAAAGACAATAACGCTGAGAAAAGTGGAAGGCAGCAAGAAATGAGGAAGATCAAATATGAAATGGATTGACTCTCTAAAGCAGTGGTCCCCAACCGTGGGCCTCCAGATGTTCTTGGACTACAACTCCCAGAAGCCTTCACCACTGCCTTTGCTGCCCAGGATTTCTGGGAGTTGAAGTCCAAGAACATCTGGAGGCCCAAGGTTGGGGGACCACTGCTCTAAAGGAAGCCACAGGATTGAGTTTACAAGAGCTAAGCAGGCCTATTGAGGACAGGACATTTTGGAGATCACAAATTCATAGAGTTACCATATGTCAAAGGTGACTTGACAGCACATAACAACACTTTGGACATATTAAAAAGCTATAGGAATGCTGGGGCCATCACAAGACATGGTAACGTCTAAAGACAGTACAGCAAACAGCTCCCACCACATCCCCGGTCAATGTACAAAATACCAAAGCCTAGTCAAGTATTTGGGCTCCTAAGCTAGTTATCAGGCGTTGAATTCCTCCTTAGAGGAGAGCTAGCCTGTGAGGCCTTGGGCCAACTGCACAGTGCCAGGGCACCAGCAGAAGAAGAAAGGAAGGGTAAACCATCTCTGAGCACTCTCTGCCTAGAAAACCCTGGAAAGGGTCAACTTAAGTCAGAATAGATTTGATAGCAACCAAGTATAGATGGCATACCCTAGAGCAGTGGTCCCCAACCTTGGGCCTCCAGATGTTCTTGGACTACAACTCCCAGAAGCCTACACCACCACCTCTTCTGGCCAGGATTTCTGGGATTTGAAGTCCAAAAACATCTGGAGGCCCAAGGTTGAGGACCACTGCCCTAGAGTGTCTCTACTCCGATCTGCAACTAAAAGCACACTAACAATCGATTATTAAATGACTCGGACTGTGTTGATCTTTCACAGGACTGGCTCTGTCAACAGACAGAGTGAAGCTGTTGTCTCAGGAAGGGAGGAGCAATATTTAATACTTCTACTTTTAAGCATGAAAATGTTTTAGGCCAGCAATGACTACGTACAACCTTCCCGAACCCTGAGGGGGGGTGTCCCTTGCTTGGCAGGGCAGCTTTGATGGCCCTGCTATGAAAAGGTAGACTTTTAAAGCAGAGAGACAGACCCTGACAGACACACCCAAACATCTGAACCTGAAGAAAGGCACTGCGTTATTTCTTTATTTCTACAGCAACGCAAAGTGTCCTTGGCTGTGGTACAAAATTCGCCCTGAAGACTTGTTCTAAGCACAAACAGGTTTACATGAAAATTGGTACCCTCACGCCCTGTTCTTTACTCCACAGTCCCCTGAGTCGGTAGGTTGGACGCTCCCCCACGCCATCCCTGCACTTTGTCCAGGGATTGCCCCACCCACCCTCCCATTCTCTGAGGGAAGTAAACACCGAGAAAAATTAAATTTGCTTACATGCGTATGCTACTCAAAACCCTACCCCTCTGATAGCTTGGGAGCCCTGCTAGAGAAAAGCCAAAGATTAACTAATGCCGACTGATAGCAATACCAATTCCAATAATGTTTTGAAAGGAAATGGCATGAATTCACAGAAAAAACCTCAGCCTTGCAACACCCTGAAAAACAAACAGATCTATTATGGCCTAGGGTTTTCCAGGAACAGAGTACAATTTCATCAGACCCACAGTGTTATCTTCAAGCGGCAAAGGGTGTGTGTTTGTATATATTACTCTCTCGCAACAGAGAGAGAGAGAGAGAGAGTCAGATAATTATTAAACATAAAAGGTGCAATCTGTCACAGTTACGAGTAAAGCTTAAATGTATATACTGTAAAACGAGAACAGCATTGCTCCATTAAACAACACCTGCAAAAGTCTCGGCAGGGGCTTTTCACTTCCTGGTTAGGAACGGACTGAAAGTTACGAATTTTCATAAGAGAGGCAGCAGGATTTCAGCCAATTAGACACTGCTCTGCACCTGGATACCTCATGAGAGGTGACTGGCCAGTTTTAAAATCTAACCACTTGATTACCGTCATAATTTGTTCTCCAACTCTTTTTTACTACCATATTTTATTTTATTTCTTACTCTTTGTATATGGGGGAGGGGTGGTACAAATGTAACATCAGTATGGGGTCAACTCCACCCCTGAAAGAATGGCTGCACAGCATGGGGTACTCCTGGATTATAAGGAGACCCAAACGGCTTTGATGGAGAGGCCTGCCTATGTCCAGTTTTGGCTGGTATACAAGCTGCAGATATTCTTGGATCACGACCCTCTTGCCCAGGTAGTTTGTCCTCTGTTACAGTAATTGCCCAGATAGACTACTGCAACACATATTACATGGGGCTCTCCTTGATAGTGATGCAACAGGGTGCATCTTCAACACTGGCCTGGGATCAGCATAACAGGATCATACTGCATGGATCCTGAAAACATCCTACTGGATGCTGATGATGAAAGAGGCCCCATTCAAAGTGCTGGTGTTAATTTATGAAACCTTACATGGTGTAGTAACGGAGTACTGTACTGTACTTCAAAGGTTGCCACCTTAAGTCCCAGCTGCCCAAGGATGACCTATACAAAATAGGCTCATGATGCCCCCGGGGTGGTGGAGCTAACATACACAGCAGGGCTGAGGGATTTGAAAAAGTGATTTTCTGATTTAATCTTACCTTTCCTCCATAATCATATCCCCTCCACCTTCTTTTCCCAACAAATTATGCTGAGGAAGAGAAAGGCTCAAGGTCATCCAAGGAGCTTCTTGACGAGGTCACTCCAATTCCAAACCCTATCCCAGTGGTTCCCAATCTTGGATCTCCAGATGTTCTCGGACTCAAACTCCCAGAACCCTTCTCCACCAGCTGTGCTGGGCCAAGATTTCTGCGAGCTGTCTGTCGTTCAAGAACACCTGGGGACCCCAGGCTGGGAACCACTGCCCCAGCCCCTTCGCATCAGAGCCCCTCTTCTGAGTATGGACCAGACACACTAGGGGGATCGATGTGGCAGACGTGCTACTAATTCCGTTGGTTTCAGGTTAGGATTATCGTAGATTTTCACAGGTCATAGTCCACCTCCAGCCTGACCCCAGTAGAGGCCTTAATCTCCTCCTGGCTCCCAAGTGTGAGCCAGTGAACTCGAGTCACTTCTTTCTCCCTTCTCTGTTCTAGGTACTGCTGTTAAGTAGGTCACTCCACCACCACCACTGTTCCCTCCTACCCCAAAGGCCTCCGGTTATGTTGCCTTGTTTGCCGGGAACATTCCAGACCAAGAACAGGACTGGATGTGCCGTCCTGCAGAAGGAGGCAGGCTGGAAGAAAAAACAAAACACTCTTTACTAAATCAAAGGTGGGCAGTGCTCAGCCATTTACACACACACACCCTCATGCTTAGTAAAAGTATAAGAAAGGTACCCGGGAGAGAAAAGAGACTAGCTTTCTGGCCAGAACAGAAGTTTCAGTTTTCCAAGATGCTCACCCATCTAACCCCATCCTCTCTAGGTTTTTGTGTGGACAGCTGAAAGATGTTTGATCCATAGCTTTCAACAGCTGAAAGCAAGGCCAAGTCACCCGGATTTGTGTCATGCATATCAGCCTGTCAGGGTGGCACTGAGAGGAGGATTCTGTTTATGGGACAACGTGTCTGGCAGGAGAAAAAGAGAGCAAGAGAAAGAGAAGCAACAGCAAATGAAAAGAGAAGAAAATGTCTTCCTTTTCCAGCTAGCTTTTGCTGAAGCACTTGAGGGCATGGACTTGTTCATCTCCGCGCAGCACTCTAAAACAAACTTCAGATAAAACTCCCAAGAAACCCGTTCTGTAAAAGTTCGTCCTGCCCTGAAAAAGCTTTTATCGCTCTGAGAAATAGGAAGCACAAAAACATTTCCACTGGACTGGGAATAGTGGGAAAGGCACACCCCGAGATTCTGATCTAAATCACATCCTGCAAAAGGTGAGGCCAGGAATTTTAGAGCAAAGATGAAATACCAAATCCATGTTTTAGGTCTCTGATGTGGAAAGAGCAGAACATCTACACTGCTGCCAGTTTCCTACAAAGATCTGCATGTATTATTGTTTTAACTTCTCTGTGTGTGCGTGTGATGGGTCTTGCATTGTGCTGTACACACATACACACACACACACACACACACACACACACAGAGAGAGAGAGAGAGAGAGAGAGAGAGAGCAATGCAAGACCCATGGCGGGGATTTTAGCTGCACACTGTACACAGGCGCACTTGTTGCACTGCATGTTGCTCCTACCACCGTGGTGTAATGGATAAAGGGTCAAACGAGGACTCAGGAGACCTGAGTTCAAATTCCTGCTGGAGCAAGGAAACTCACTTGGCGATACACGCTGCAAACCACTCCTAGAATAGCTCACATGCTTCAACATCTTTACAAAAGATTTGGTAGTGCAAAACAACATCAATAATGTTGCTTGGGCAGTCACAAATAGATGTACAGTACTACAAAAATCAGAGCCAGGTAAATCCTTTTGTGAGGACCCTTCCACTATACACTCCACACACACGTGTCTCTCGCACACCTCCATTACAAGTGGCCTCCTCAGCCCAAATGATTACCACAACATGCAGCTCTAATCACACTATACTCTGGAACTGGCTGCTCAAAATTTCCAAGGGGAGGATGCTTTTTAAAAGCTCAGGTGGGTGGGAGGACACCAGGCATTACGTTTTGTGCCAGCAGCTCCACATTATAAGCAACAAGGGATAACCTCGGGGGTGGGGGGGAACTGCCTCCAGTAAACCTCGTCTTCAGCAAAATAATACTACAATTTTAAAAGACAACAATGACTAAAATGCACGATGTGTTAAAAAAGGAGACGCGCCTGAACTTAATTCTGCAACAAAACCATCACATGTTCTGATTTGATCTGGGAAGCCCCACATCCCGGGGGAGGGGGGGCAGCAAATTGTGGCTAGTCGCTCGGTGACCAGGAGGAAGGGCGCTCTGCACATGCTCAAAGGCCCCTTGCCTGCCGAAATCGGCAGCCACGGCGGGCACCGTATCCCAAGCCTTGCGGAGAAAGACGTCCTCTACTATCCCACCCCTACGTTAACGTATCCAGAGTGGGGTGGGGGGGCAGAGTTAGGGAAGGGGGGCGCAGGGATCTTTCATGCCCCCCTCCCCGGGCTGCAACCAGGGCTTCCCACTCACCCCTCCCCATCTCACCTCGTCCCAACTGGGAGGGAGAACTAGGTAGCGCCCGTCGAGGCGAGCGACGCCGCTGGGCCTTCGCCTCGGTCCTCGCCTAGCCCTTTCGGTCGCCCGTCAGCTCCCAGCCTCGGTTGGCGGGAAAGTCCCGCTCCGGCCTCGCTCGCTCGCTCCCTCTCGCTCTCTCCGCGGCCGGCAGCAGCAGCGGCCCCCGAGAGGCGCCTCCTCCGACGGTGCGTCAGGACCGCCCTCGCCCGAACCCGGTTCAGCCGAGGACGCCGCCTTACCCGAGATCACCCCGGCGGGCCACGCAAGCCTGGCGAGAGAGAGAGAGAGAGAGAGAAAGAGAGAGAGAGGCGAGCGGGCGGGCGGGGGGCGGGGGGAAACAAGGGGGGGG